TTGATTTTGATAATGATAATCTTTTTGTAATTTGAATAGAGTGTGATTGCAATCTTAATTTGATAAAGTTTAAAAGTAATCATAATTTTATATTTTGAAATGAATTCTTAACCAAATTTCTTGTATACGTCGTTTTAAATTATAGTTGCATACAAACTCAATTGAGTATTTCAACTATAAATACAGTAGGAATTCTCATTATTTCACCACAAATAATAAGGAGAGCCACAGTAGAGAGAGAATGTGAGGAAAAAATATAGAAAAATAGAAGATCTTTTACGTGCAAGATTTTATTCTTTCTAACATTTTAAAAATCAAAGTAAGATACTTCTGTACAAGTGGTTTGTTTTCTTTTACTTTCATATTCAGTAATTTATGCATGAATTGTCAGTTGACTTTCGAGTTCTTTATTAAGAGATAATAGATTCTACGAGAATTAAGATGACCTAAGATGGGTGTGTCCTCGGTCACCGATATACTGCATAAGATAAGAGTGGTATGAAGTGTTTATTTTATTATTATATAATTGTGTATGAGAACTGCACGTATCTTACTGGATATTTTAAAATACTTACTCTTACAAAATTTTACAAGTTAATTTGAGTCGATTAAGACTGTGGTGGGATGGTGATGCGGACTGTCAGAAGGAATTAAAGAATAAAAACATAAAAAAATCCTTTAATTTATTAGTTAGTTTTAATTGTTCAAATGCACGTTATTTAATTAGTGATTATATTATTTTCTTAACGATACAATTTCCATGTTTAGTTTAAATTTATGGATATTCCAGCCATATTTTTTATTAAAGAATATTATTTTATAGTTTCGCATTTGATACAAAGAAAAGTGAATTTTTGGTAACACTTCAAGGTTTTTGAAATTTTGGAGTGTTACAGTTACCCTTTAGATTTTGATTGCCATGTATGAAATTTAGGGTTGGACAAAATTCACGAATCGGACCGAACCGGATTCGGACCGAATCGAACGGTTCTTTTTAAATTAAATACTCGAAATGGCATTTGAATTGAAAATCGACGGGTTCGGTTCAGTTCTTGGTTCTAGACTAAGAACTAAATAAGAATAAAATCTCACTAATTTTTTCAATTTTTTATCTTAAATAAGTCAAATTATTTTATTTTTTAAAATAAATTTGCTAACTAA